GCTTGCGTTGTGGCCGGAACGTCGTGAGAATAATTGTATTATTTATTATTTTTATTATTGTATTATTTCCCTTCTACGTGACTTTACCGAAAGAACCAAGAAGACTCAATTGAGGTTATATATTTAACAATCGCCACCCACTACCGGCAGACTAATGCCTCTGATCAACGCTGCGAACGAGACTTATCATCCCGGGTCTCTTGCGTTCTCATCTGGTTTAAAAAAAAAGCGCGTCTTGTGTTCCATAAACGAGACGGTCTTGTCTCGTTGTCCCCCCCCCCTCTCTTCCCCAGGTCTCCCCATACCCCAGCCATGAGCAGCTGAGCAGCGCGCTGCAGACCGAGCTGCGATGGCTTCACTTCCGTCGGCGCGTGCTCAAGAGCGCCGCCCTCCGCTCGCGACGGCTGCCGCGTTCTCACGACCACTCGACCCTCCGCGTGCTTCCGCCGACGACTAGAAATTGGCATGCCAATGCCACCACCACCACCACCGCCACCATCCCTTAGCAGGCCGGCGATGCACAAGGAACAGCTGCCACAGTGGGTCACCCTGGCAATGATTGACGGGAGATGTGATGTACGGCACTTAATAGCTGGGTAGGGGAGGGTGGGTATGTAAAGTTGAATACGTAGGCTTTCGCGTAAATATCTAAATGTGTCGTTAAACCCGATTGTAAATCTTGTGGCTTGGCTCTCCAACACACCGGTGTGCTGTACTAGTGACGAATTGGCATGTTCTGTTTACGTGACAACCCTTACTAGTTGGCTGTGTCGGGTGGTGGTGGGTTTAACAACACATTTAGATATTTACGCGATCTACCGCGAATAAATCTGTATTTTGAGGGAAATATAATCCGCATTCAAATGAGTGCCAGGGTATCCAATAGTAATAATCATCGATAATTGTACTCTTTGGGTCTTTCGGTAAAGTCACGTAGATAGTAAAATAATAATAATAATTGGTTAATGTTTGTGACAATACGAGATCGTTTGCATACAATTTGCATTCATTGTAAATGATGGAGTCAGTGAAATTTTATTTGAGTATTGCAAGCATAAGAGTCAAACTTAACCAGTGAATGCATCACTCCCAGTTTAATATGAACATAACATAGATGAGGATGACGACAACGAAAAGCTCGTATGCTCTGTGGTCTAAACATGCTGTTGCTCACACCAACAGCGCAGCATTGTACACAGCGTTTTGCTCTTACGATTACCGACTGTGTAAATTGAGCATCCGATCAACCAAAGTGGCACCGTTCTTAAAAACTTCGAATACTCTAACTAGCTTGGCGGGTCCGGCTTCAGCTTCTCTTGTCATCTGTCATCATCATACTGCCTCCTCGGGCTCGTTTTTGCCCATCTTAGAAATCCCTCACGAACCCTTCCAGAACATTCTCCAGAAGATCCCTTTATGATTCACAGATACCGGTCGTTTGAATTCCAGTCCACCTCCCCCCTTGTTTACCCCAACGGTCATCCTGACCCTGGCTGCTCTCCACATTCCCATGATGATGATGCTCACCAACCGCCTCTTCTGGCTGCCGAGCGCGGACATGCAGTCGTTCTCGAATATGTGCGCGTTGAACCACTACAGAGATTTACACCATTGGAACCTCATTTGCCAGTAAAAAATATGATAATAGTTTTTTTACTCTTCTATCTGGCAGCAAAACTGACACCTTTTTTACAAGGAGTCATGTTTGCATAGACCACAATACCTGCAGCCATAATGCAAACAAAAAACATAACTCTGATAATATATATTAAACATAACTCTGATAATACATATTATCAGAGTTATGTGTTTTGTTTGCATTATGGCTGCAGGTATTGTGGTCTATGCAAACATGACTCCTTGTAAAAAAGGTGTCAGTTTTGTTGCCAGATAGAAGGGTAAAAAACCAATGATCACTACAAAGATATTAAAAAGCGTAGGGGATGCATTGATCACCACTGGCTCAGGGCCACCAGGAGATTAGTTGAGGAATTCGGACCTTCAGACCACATTTGAGTCGTCGATCAAGGACAGAGCATGCCCACATTTGCATAAAAGGTACAATTAGAATAGCCATCGAATCCGCGTAAAATTCTTGAGCCAAGGCTTCGACAAACTACCCAGCCACTTGAAAAGTCAAGAGGACGCTCCAACAGCTTGAAGATTGTAAAACGCGCCATGCTTACAAGTGTACAACTCCAGGGCAAATGGCATTTTCAATTATGGAGGGGCTTTTTACAGTTAACATGCACTTTTAGGTTGAACAAACATAGGAAAAGTTAAGTGAATTGAAGCGTTATTTTTTGTAAGTATTCTCCAGCTACAAGTCCAACATTTGTCCCATCAGATTTGTTCAAGCAATACCCAGTAAACGTTAGGACAAATGCTTTCGACCACATGCTTGCTCGTTTCATGCCAAAAGCATAGCGTGCATTGGAGCGTTATATTTATATGGTCAGGTTTTCATTTAAAGCTTTCGTGACTGCAGGGATTCATCTTCTTCTCACGACGTTTCAGCCACAACGCAACGCAAGCAGCCGTCCTCAGGTGGAGAACAGGTCTGTCGAGACCTGGCCGAAACGTCGTGAGAATTATTTTTATATGTTTTATTTTTATTATTTTATTATTTCCAATCTACGCGATTTTACCGAAAGAACCAAGAAGATGGTCAGGTTTTGTTTTTAAAAAAAGTTGTAAGGTTATATCAAGCAGGTTAATGATCTATCTGTTTAATTGTATCTGTAGTTGAATACCTTGTATGCATGGCTACTCCACAGCTACGCGTTTCCTCCCACACAAAAAAGCTGAACTGGAGGCTTGTCTGGGTAAAAGGGACAGGAATAAGCAACGTCCCGCTAATATCGCCAAATGCTTTCATAATTTTCAGTGGCTCTGCTCCGGGAGAACTCCCACCATAGGAATGTGGAATTTCCACCACTGCCTCATGGTCTACAAGACTGTCAAAGACGTCTGTCCCACTGTCCAATTAGCGTATAAAAAACACTTTAATAATTTTTGTTACGATGAAAATAAAACAAGCTCTATCCTTTCCAGCAATAATACATGAGATATTAATCATGTTCAAACGCCAAAGAGACACCTATTACAAGGCATCACGTCTGCATTAACGACACATGCTTGGTGGTAAAATAAAACAGCTTTGATAATGTTTGCATTGTCGTCTTTGGTGTAGGCCAATCGATAACAGAGACGGCCTTCTCTCAGGCGTTAGACCAAAGAATGCCAAAACGTGAACAGCAAAGAAGGCGATGCAAATACAGTGTGTAAGGGGCCGTCCATAAATGACGTCACGCGATTTTGGACGATTTTTGACCCCCCCCCCCCTCAAATATGACGTCCCAAAGCTCTGCCCCCCACCCCCAAAACCATATTTCCATTTTGAAAATAAAACATGCTTCAAATCGCTTTAAACTATTGTCATTGTAGTGCGTATTTAATGTGGCGCTGCAGTCTGATGTTGTAGGAGTGTTGTTATAACAATTAGTGTTGTTATAACAATTAAATATTTATTTAAAGTTGCGCATATTGATGTGACGTCACATTTCTCAAACCCCCCTCCTCGTCACACATCGTCACATATGCCTGACCACCCCCCCCCTAGGTGCGTGACGTCATTTATGGACGGCCCCTAACAAAAAAAAAATGTTCCTGGGTAGTAAATGTTATTTTATAATTGCTTATGCCTCAAAAGTACAGAAAATGGCTATTATTTCTCACAAACTTTGCTTTTGTGACCAGGACAGTGATATTTTTAAATTTACCTATTTTCAATGAGAAAACGTGGTGTGCATTTGTGTCATTCCTTCACATAAAGTCCTGGTCACAAAAGCAATGTTTGTGGGGAATAATAGCCATTTTTTATACCTTTGAGGCATAAGCAATTAAAAAAAATAACACTGACTACCCAGAAAAAAAAATCGTGCTACGTATTGATATCATAGCGTTAAAAGTACAGCGTGGGCAGTTATATCTATGGGATCTTTCTCGTCGCAAAATGAGAACATTTACATATTGGCGGTACACCAGTGCAGTATAAACACACCGGTCCGAATAAAACAAACAGTTTTCCGACTGCTTCGACATCACAACTGCTTTCCTGACTGGGGGTTGCTAATCGTCAATACGTTCAAATAGGCTTCAGCCCTTCTGGCAGAGGTCGCAAACGGGTTTTGATTCCTTAACCGTACCCGGCCGGGTACGGGTACCCGTTCCCTACCCGTACCCGACCCGAAATGAGTGGCAAATGGTTACTCACCAGTGACTCACGGCCTACCCGTACCCGTTCCCGGCCGCACCAGGGTCGCAAACGGCTACCCGTACCCGGCCGGGTACGGGTAGCCGGGTATCGGGTAGGGTACGGGTATCGGATACCCGGTTGCGACCTGATGCCTTACAATAAGTTGTCTAGTTGGTGTTCGAACATCTTAAGAGCTGTATTATTGCCAGAAAGGGGTACATTCCCCCCCACCACCACCCCCTCATTATTTTGATACTGACAAACCAGGTCCCTTTAGACGCTTGCCGTGTTGAAATCTTTTCCAGACTTCACCGCAAATGACGCAATTTGTTGAATCTAAGTCGTTTTAATGAGGGTTAATTAATCATTACCACCATCAATGGCGGAGCCAGGATTTTCAGGTAGGGGGGGGGGCAACCCCTCCAGCAATGAAAAATGATAGAGGAGTTCTTAGTGAGTAAGGAGTTGTGAGTAAGTAAGGAGTTGTGAGTAAGTAAGGAGTTTCGATTTAAAGCTTTCGTGACTGCAGGGATTCATCTTCTTAGTTCTTTCGGTAAAGTCACGTAGAAGGGAAATAATAAAATAATACAAATAAAACATAATAAAATAATTCTCACGACGTTTCGGCCACAACGCAAGCAGCCGTCCTCAGGTGAAGACCAGGTCTGTCGGGGAGGCAGCGTCGGAACATTCAGACGCTGTTTTCCCGACTTATTTTATTGTTTTATTTTTATTATTTTATTATTTCCCTTCTACGTGACTAGGGGTCGGCACGGTTTGAACCGACTCAAACTGGTTTCAAATTGAGCAAACCAAACGAAACCAAACCAGCGACGACTGAACCAAACCAAACCAAAACCAAACCAAACTAAGCTAAACCAAACCTCTTGAGTTGGCTTGAACCGAAAAGATGCGCGGCAAACAATATTCGCATTCAATACAAATATCAAGTGTATTAATCGCTAATTTCTACGCAGTCTTTCTTCATGTTGAGATTCACTAGCAAGTACTGGACGACGATGTCGTCCACAGCCATCTCCTCAAGCTTGGCACGCCCAATGTCCTTGAACGCAGAGTGGTAGTTCAATGGCAGTGAAACGCCAACACTAGGCAACATCCGCGCCCACGAGCGCACACACATCTCGGCCTTGAACGTGCACTTGTGCAGGTTTGGTCGGTCGAGAAAGGAGCGCTTGGCGGCCGAGTTTGCTCTCTCGGAGGGCACGGACGACGCCGGGATAGGCAAATAGTCGAGGGCCACGCGTCGCAGGCGCGGGCACTTGCCGCCGTACAGCTTCCACCACTCGACGACGTCCATGCTCAGGTCCTGAGTCGGCTCAAGCAGGAAGCGGTCGACCTCGGAGGCGGCGCCGTCGTGAGCGTTGGGCGCGTAGACCATGTCAAAGAGGATTTTAATGCCGCCACGCGGCGCCGCCTTCGGCGCCGCGTCCGTCGTCAACGCTGGGTAGCGCTGGTTGAGAATGTCCGTCATCATGTCCTTGATATTGCTGTACTCGGCCTTTACAACCAACCAAACTAGTTTGAGCCGGTTCCACCCTGTCCGAGCCAAACCGAGTCGGTTTTCGTAGCCCCAAACCAAACCGAACCAGTTTAAACAAAGCCAAACCAAACCGATTTGGTTCGGTTCAAACCGCGGTTTGGTGGTTTGAGCCAAACCGTGCCGACCCCTATACGTGACTTTACCGAAAGAACCAAGAAGAAGTAAGGAGTTGTGAGTAAGTAAGGAGTTGTTAGTAAGTAAGGACTTGTCCCTTGCTTTTTATACGACACGTGTGCGGCGATGGTGCAGCCATTGATCGAGGGTCGAATTCGAAACGCGTGATCGGCATCGCGCTCGCTGAAGATGTTTGCCTTCAGGGAAGTCGTGGACTGTATACGCAACTGCGCACAATTCTGTGAGTCACTTATAACTGCGTTGCCGTTACCTATTGCCAATTATGGATTCAGACTATTGTCCTATCATCTCATAGAGTCCCTGGCACGTATTACTATGCTACACAGTGGCAGTGGGGGTCGCAAAATGCCGATTTATTACTAATAAACCCCAATGATCCGATCGAAATTAGGGGCACGTGCCACCCCACCCTCCCTTCCCCCACTGGCTCCGCCATTGCTCGCCATGGAGATGCTGGCAATGTAATGGTTAGCTTACTGGACTTGCAATCCAGAGGTCGTTGGTTCCTCAATTCAACCCTGACTCTGTCCACCTAGCCGTTATAAACTGGGTGGCCACACTTGAATGGGCAGTTCACACGTGGTGGTGGGGGTCAAGTAGGGATGCTCCCAATTCCTTACGTGATGTCTGACCAGGTGTTGAGAGAAGGCAAGATACTCTATAGAACCGTGGTTCAACACTTTTTTGGGCTACCGCATCCCTTTGTTCAATTGCGTTTCAACCGAGCACCCTCTCCTCTGATCCAACATGGTTTTGAGAAATAAATGTATACAAAAAGTTACGTGAATATTTTAACCAAAATGGTTAAATGCTGTGAGGTATCCCCATCTAGCTGGTAACGGCAAACAAACGCGCGCTCTTGTGTGCGTTACGTAATTCGCTTACGCTCGCTGGTTACTCTTAGAAACCACATTGTTTACCATCTTTGAGTTTAGAACGGTCTCTTACATCGTCTTAGGTTACCGTGAGGATTCAAATTCTATCGTGGTTATTGTATACTACCAGACTCGTACACGATTATTTACCAATGACTCTTTACCAATATAACGTCACATTTACACAATCACCTCGCGTACCTCCAGCGATCCGCGTACCCCCGGTTGATAACCACTGCTTCAGGAGGAACTCCCAAGCAGGAGGCCCCGTTCCCAGCAGTAAAATAAACATGTAATTGCAGGTCTGCGCCTTTGCCATGGTAATAAATTCCCCCTACGCCCGTACCCTGTACGGTTGTATCTGAATATTCATTTAAAAGTCCAGAGGTCGTCGTGGCTAAAGGCATGCCACCAGCCCTCGCCATTGCTGCAGTCCTGATGCTACATCACATGACTGTTGCACAGATTGATTGGGGGGCTTTGTAAGGAAATGGCGATGAAATTTTGAGAGATGGGTGGCGGTGGTGACCCACAGGAAAGATGTAAAAAGCCGTCGGAATTCGCAAACACTTTGCCCCTCCTCAAGAGCCAAGTGCGTGCGAGCACTTACAATGCGCGAGTGGCATCTGCAATTCTCTGACAACTGCGATGGCACACGGCAGTCTGAGTGAACGACGCATGGTAAAGCGGCAACGGCCATCCAGGTATGGAAACATTTCGCGTGTGTGTGTATACGGATCAGTTTCTAAACTTACAAATATATATTTTACGCGTTCACGTGCCGCTAAGCAAACACAGTGCTCATGAAGTTAATAGCAGAACATAGGTAAATGTAACTCGAGCGCTTAATCTTCACAAGTCTGTTGGCATGTTTCTCCGTGTGTGTAGATTTTTTTTGCCGACGTTTTAAAACTCGAGATTCGTGAGTCCCCTGGTATTATCGCGTTACCAACAATGTCATTATCATGCGAAGCTTTGAGCAGGTAAAGCCCTGCAAGTATTTCGGTTTAAAGCTTTCGTGACTGCAGGGATTCATCTTCTTAGTTCTTTCGGTAAAGTCACGTAGAAGGGAAGTAGTAAAATAATAAAAATAAAAATAAAACATTTTATTATGTTTTATTTTTATTATTTTATTACTTCCCTTCTACGTGACTTTACCGAAAAAACCAAGAAGATGAATCCCTGCAAGTATCTCTTGCTGCTGGATATACTCTGCTATATTGCAGTGCTGATCAATTCACCCTCGGCTGTTCAAGGAAGAACTCATTCCTACTTCATGAAGCATAAAAATGTCATGTGTTCAGAAAGCATGACATTGCCTTGTATTTACACTCACGTGTGAAAAAATTTCAATACGTCTCCACATTCAGGTAAAACAGTTTCCCATTCAGCGTATTAGCCTTCCATAGCAATGTTATCCATCGGCAATCTGGGGTTGTGAAGACCCCGCATGCCCAACCTGAGAAACAATGCTCCACTGTCACATTGTTCCATCCACCGATGTATTGAGGCTGATCCAAAGCATTTATTTTCTCACGGATTGACTGGTTTAAGTGTACTTCCCCCATCCCACAACCTTCGCTGTGTGAACATCGCTCCAGTTACCACGCTTCCTTGCTCTGAAAATCGAGTGGAATCTAAGATTTCGTTGCTCGTATTTAAGGCCTTGTATAGGCGTTGGTGGGACGTGGGCATCTGGCTCCACAATACATGCAGAATCCTAATTGTATATCATGCCCCTGGCAAGGTCTTTCAGATCTACCAATAGTGGCCCCCATTTAGGATCACCCTTGATCTTGGTGGCATTCTAGGGAGGGGTGGGGGCAGACATTTACTGTGGTGCACACCTATCCTGCGTCGTGGCAATCCCTACCTTGTGTCACTCAGCTGTGGCAATCTCTGCCGAGTGCTGCTCCCCCTGTCCTGGTTGTGAACCTACTTGGGTGGAGGTTAGGCTCTTGGTCAATGTTTGATATCTTTAAAACCAGTATTTAAAACAAAAGTTTCCAAATGTGTTTGGGTACCTCTGGCTATTATATACTGTAGAACATGGTTCCTCACTTTGTCTTTTCATACACAGATGCAGACCTTGTGGAAAGGTGCCAGTGCAAATTATTGCTGTAGTTCACGTGAGCATTTCGCAATTCGAAGGTTATGAACGTAAAGCTATGACCAATAAAACAATACAACGTAGGACAAACATGTGTTATTACCCACACACTGGGTTAGCATTGTTTTTATTTTATTATTTTTTACTGCCAAATACTCGTAAAATACCTCTACCCTGCTGGGTGGGGCAGTGGTAAATTCATGCTCGCAATTACAAGGACGTGCGTTTAAATCCTGCAGGGGGACGGTGAAATCATAAATTGTTTGTCCAGGGTTTGATTCCTTTTCACGACCAATATTTTAATTCAATATCGGGTTATTTTCGGGCTAATGTCCATCAGAGCCAAGAATCCTCTGCAACCCGACAAATCGTGTTGGTCACGTGGGTGTCAATTTATTAATGTTTTTATTCAAAAAATCAGAATGCAGAAAACCGAACAACCGTTACTTGCTGCTTAGCATGATGGTTTACTGGAAAAAAAAACTAAATTGAACGACACATTTGCCCACGTGACAATTTGATTTGTTTGGCCATGTCAGGTGGTGCAGTGTTACAGATCGAATTGGACGTTACACCTCCACTATCTCACCTATTCAAAAAAAATTCGGAGTTCATGGTCTATAAAACAGTTATTTTGTGGGAGCACAATTGGTCATGAATACACTTGGACTTTAAAATCCAATTAAAAGTAAAACAATTTAGTACAAATGGGTACCAGTTGAATCCATCTCACGGAGCTATGGGGAGACGAATGCGATCATTATAATCGTTATAATAGAAGGCAACAGGTAAATGTGGAGCCCTGTGCTTAATATTGTTTGCTCAAAACATTGGCAGAAGAGACTCTGCTAGAGGGAGCAGAGGAAACTGGAGGGTATTTGGCCTACTCTTCCACTGCTCAGGTATTTTGGAAGGTAGTGAGAGTACCCACAATATACCCCACCACACGTGACCCATCGGATTGACGGCAGTGTACGCACGTGCACGTGCCAGGGATTTAAGAAACCTGCACTAACTGTTTAAAATCCTATGCCAGAACATCGAATCGAACACCGGTGTTATGCAAGTCCGGAGTGCAAATCCTTTACACCACAGCTTGTGCAACAAGCAGTAAAAAACGCACGCCATCCCAAAAATCCATCTTTACAATTGCCCGGTCCAATTTTTATATTATCTAGGACAAAATGCATGAGAAACACAGCTCGGCGTTGAAGTAATGAATACCTGGTTCCCAAACCATCAACATGGGCCATTAAACGACTGGTGTAATGAACATTATGCGAGTGAATGTAGAACTGGTGGACAAACCAATATTTCTAAAAGATCAGGTCCCAAAATTCCCTCACTTGAATCAGGAACCTTTGAGCCCATTCGTGCTCAGGTTTGCGGTCGAGCAGCACATATCTGATGAATAAGCTTTGAGGCACACGGAGCAAGCTTGACGTCTTGACAAACGTGGCACAAACCCTAAAAGAGGCGAATTGTGTTTTTCATCCTTTGCGACCCAAAAACCCATAACTTATCGCTTCTTTATTAGTTCTGCACACACACACACACAATTTGACCTGTTCAAAACAGGTTTACGTTCAATCTTTGCAAACAATGATCCTGACCTAATAAATGCAGGTCACGAGAACAGAAGCAATATTTAGTTTGCTAAATGTTTTTTTACCCTTTTATCTAGGCAACAAAACTGACACCTTTTTTACAAGAAGTCATGTTTGCATTGACCACAATACCTGCAGTCGGAATGCAAAAAAAAAACATAACTCTGATAATGTATGCATTGTCCTCGAAATTGATTGGTCCACAGCCGAGACAGCTTGCATTAGAGCCTAGTCTCACATGGTGTTGGACCAGATGACGCCAAAAGGCGCCTTTTGGCGTCATCTGGTCCAGGTATTGTGGTCAATGCAAAAAATGACTCCTTGTAAAAAAGGTGTCAGTTTTGTTGCCAGATAAAAGGGTAAAAAAACAAAGATCATATTTTGCTACTGGCAAATGAGGTTCCAAGGGTGGAATATTTAGGTTGTAAAGTTTCCAGGTGGTATTCAATGACATCAACTGTACTGTACCTACATTTTATTGCGGTTAAGTCGATCTTTGAACACGCATTTGTCATCTGCCCTTCAAAAGGCAAATGTAAATCTTCGAGTGCTCACGTAGTGTCAAGCTTTGCATGTAGAATAGATTCCTCAAACACCGAGTAACGCGTCAATTATCTCGTTCGTTCGTTCGTTAACGTTAAACCATCCGCATGGCGCCTAATAAGAATTCAGTCCTGTATTTATTTATTTAGTTCGCCTTCAAGCACAATCGCTATCAGGGAAACAATTATTAACTGGGTGAACATAAAGCGCCGCTGCAAATGTCGAGACAGCTTCCTTGATGGGGACGTGTGGACATTAACAAAGTGGACACTAGCAAAGTGAACACAAGAAGGGCGCGGATTGTCCGTGGCGATCTACCTGCGAGCTTGCTGCTGTTGGTCAAGCATCGCCCCACAACGAAGTTTCTACACCAGGTAAAGTTGTTTGTTTATTATTAGTTAATTAAATCTATATTTGGAACTCAGCGGCAATGTCATAATACAAATCATGTAAAGCGTTCGAGAATAAAAAAAAGGCAAGCGACTTCCTGCTAGAATGAACATTGTGGCGGTGCGTGTCACTTGTTTACAGCCTTGCTGGATCAGCGGTGGAAATTCCACGTTCCTATGGCAAGGGAGAGTCTCTGTTAGAAAAAAATCACGGTTGACTTCCCCACAAAGTGACGATCATTTTATAGACGAACCCCCCCTCCCCCCCCCCAAAAAAAGAGATGGCTAGGCTGGGTCAATCCCCAACCAAGTTATAGAACTCGCAAACATTCGATTGCACTGTCGCTTGCACTATATGCTGCAACGCAAGCGTAAATCACTCCGTGCGATAGCAAATTCGCTACCAATTGAAGACATCTGATTGTGGGATGCGATAGGAAAAGAGAGCTGATTACGAGGACAGTTATTGGGGACAGACCAGGATGGATATGACGGGACAGGCAGATGAACAAGTTGGAGCGCTTTTGGAAAACTAAACTTAAAAACGCAAACACAAATGTAAGTTGAATCCGTATCTTTTGATACGGCAAAGAAAAGACCAAACTTTGAACCTGGTGCAAAAGAAGCGCACAGATTGCCACGCTTAGAATTGCATAGGACAGAAAAGACGCGTGCAAAGGTTAGACAACATATAGACTGAAAACGTGGTTTGGGCAGAACACTTAACTTTTCGTAATATATCGGGAGGGGGTCAAGATTAATTACGGAGCAGCAGCCAAAGTAAGGAATGCGCGAGAACGACTCACGTGGTAATGGAGTGAAGATGTCGGCTCGATGGGTTGCATCGCAGGAACGCGACATCTTGGGGAGGCCTTCATCCAGCAGTGGATCGATCTTGGCTGATGATTGATAACATATGATTGGTCGATGAATTAGCCTAACGTACCAGGTTTTGTAAGATCTTTTGGGTGCATTTGAGAACATATTTTGTTCAACTGTATTTTCATTAAATAAAATTACCATCCGTACAAATGCGTGCACAAATTAATTTAAAG